ACCTCCACTGGGTAACGGCTGGAGCATGCGGAGGGCAGGAGCGAACAGCTGTACATCAGCCGTTCATTTAATTCCCATAAAGCGACATCATTCACCTCGCTGTCGAGCTGAGCACTAAACTCTTTTACTGAGTGTGTCACGCCCGCCCAAGTGTATAATCGAGTGCTTGGCCCACTAAACAGGCAATCCAGCACGTTTGGAGGACCGGCCTCTCCATTTTGGGTCTGCGTTTACAGCTGAGATCTTTGAATTTTAAATGCTGCCTTTGGTCAGTATTGTTAAATTATCTGGGTTTGCGTTGATTTTTTAATTCTATCAGATGACTATTAAACAGAATGAGGATTTATCTATTTTATTGATACCTCTAAGATATTTGTGATGTTTACAATCTGTGCGGTAGCTTTAGAAAAGCAAGCCGGAGGTCAGAGACTCTTTTTGTCTGCTTACCTTATTTTCTTGATGCACCCTTACTTAAACAGACATGGTGAACGCTTTCAATTGTTAAATTATTCATACACGTTTGCTTCCAGAAGCTCACTTGTGCAGCTGAAATGGTCCGTGGTGATTGCAGCTCATTATATCTGCTGGGAGAGTTGTGCGTCAGGAAGGCATTTGACTCAATTTAGTGGAGATGTCTGTAGCCAGGTTTTCAGAACAGCACATAGATTACAAAGAAAAATTTCTGTTTTTTTTATTCCCAAGTCTCTTGTTTTGAAGCAGTGACCTCTGATTCACCTTCATTCTGCCCAAAACACACACAAATGTTCATGGTTTCGGTCTCTTGACTGTCTTAGATAATACCCCACGGTCATCGAGTTCATTTAAATCAGGATCTTTATATAATTGAATGCAGGATGACCTCTGTGAACCGTATTGGCAACAGTATGTTTCTAAGAGCTTGACCAAATATTATACAAGTGTCAAATGTTTGTCCAGTGACCTCATGATGTTGCAATGCAGTGAGGGGTGTCTAATTATCATCTAATTGCATTTTTAATCCAATTTTGTGGAGCCAAATAAAATGAGTGAAGAAAGATGCTCATTTTGGAAAATTTTGAAGATTATATACACTACCGTTCAAAAGTGTTTTTTTTTTTTTAATTCAGCGTAGACGCAGTAAATTGATCAAAAGTGACATTATCATAAAGACTTCTATGATTCCACAAACGATTTGTGTTTTAAATAAATGCTGTTCTTTTTAACTTTCTGTTTATCCAAGACTCTTGAAAAATGTATCACAGTTTCCACAAAAATTTGAAACAACCATTTTTAGCATTTGAAAAGGTAACACTTTATTTTAAGGTGTCCTTGTTACACATGTTACAGGTACTTACTATTATAATAATTAATTATGCATAATTACATGCAAGTAACCCCAAGCCTAACCCTAACCATATAGTAAGTACATGTAGTAAATTAATATTACTCAGTACTTAAATGTATAATTACACTGTAACAAGGACACCTTAAAATAAAGTGTAACCTTTTGAAAATAATAAGAAATGTTTCTTAAGAAATTATTCTAATATGCTGATTTGGTGCTTAAGTATCACGTGACACTGAAGACTGAAGTAATGGCTGCTGAAAATTCAGCTTTGCATCATGAATAAATTAAATTTTCAAATATGTTACAATAGAAAACAGTTGTATTAAATAGTAATAATATTTCACAATATCACTGTTTTTATTTCTGATCAATTAAATGCAGCCTTGGTGAGCATAAGAGAGAAACACTAATGTATTGACCCCAAATATATATATATATAAGTTCCAGAAGAGAAAGGCTGTTAATTAAAAAGTGAATTGTGTTAATGTTTACAGAGATCTTTAAATATGTAAATTTGTATATCTGCTGAAGGTTTATATGCAGTATATGTATGTGTGTGTGTGTGTATATGTATACATGTATACATATATACATGTATATATGTACATATGTGTATATATATCATTATTTTTATTATTATATATAGATTACCTCAAAGTTAATAGGCTAAAATCCACAAAACCCCAACTCTGATTTTGTCTATTTTTCTTTTTAAAATAAAAGGGTCATGATCAAAATACAGAATATGTCACTGCAATGTCAAGACTTTCTTTGAAGAGTTTTAAACGCATCTCCTGTGATCATACACCGTTGGCTGCATACGGGGCTCACCACATGCAGCGGACACCTGAATGTTCCTCCTGACTGTTCCCTGCGTCAGTCTGAGTTCGCATGGCTGGTGAAGGGCAATCAGTCACAGAAACAGATGTGTTTGCATGTTCTACATAATGCGGGGCAATAATCTCGCAGTCTGCCGCGGCATTACCCCCTGCTGTCCTGAAAGGCAATGACAAACCATCCACCGTCTTTCCCTGGGAACGGTGCAAAGAGTGCTTGTGTACAAACGAGGTCACTTGATTAGCGTCTCACAGAGTGGGAAGGGTGCATGTTGTCCTATCCAGTGTTGTTTGCATAAGTGCAATTATTTTTATAACATTTGTATGCGTACCAGTGATTTTATATGAAAATATGAGTGGATTCAAATTCTCCTTGCATAGATAGTTGTCATTCAAATCTTTTCATGCCCGGGTTTTAGGAATATTCTGTATTGTTTGTGTGTGTGTATCAGTCACTTGCACTGGTTCGAAATCCCAGTGACAGAATGTAAATATTTCAATTCAGCTGTGCTGCAGCTCAAAACACATTATTAATTTATAGATTTGAAACTCCTCCTATGCTTCCTGTATCTGATATTATACCTTTGAAAGCAGTCTACATCTTCTGGTAGCTTATGAAGGTCTTGTCTGAATATTGCTTATCATGCTGGCCCACCCTCTCCCTCTCGCTTGGGGATAAAGCCTGGAATTATAAAAGTTCTGTTTGCGGAATTTCAACTCGGCAGTCAGTCGTTAGCTCGAGCATTTCTAATCATTTGCTTACAGTGAGGCTAGATCAACATCAGCAGAATGTGAGTCTACATTTGCAGATGGCCTTCAGGTCTAGTTATGCACTTATTTAAATTAATATGGGATTTTTAAAGGTGCACTCAATATGTTTTTGTTTACTTATGCCGAGTCTTCTTCATCTCAGTGGTCTTGGGAATATTTATGACCCTGGACCACAAAACCAGTCATAAGGGTAAATTTTTCGAAATTGAGATTTATACATCATCTGAAAGCTGAATAAATAAGCGCATTATTATTATTATTATTATTATTATACGCTTGTTAGGATAGGAACATATTTGGCCAAGATACAACTATTTGAAAATCTGGAATCTGAGGG